GTAATTTGAAGTTTTCAAAAAATTGGACAGACAGAAATGTCGATATTATTCAACCAAACTTCTATATTTTATATTACATACGCTCTATCCCTGATAATATACACTTCAACCCATAAATATAGCATACTATAAAACTATATTTTTATCACACACAAACACACACACATATATATATATATATATATATATATATATATATATATATATATATATATATATATATATATATATATATGTCTCTAGTTGTAACGAGTGCAAGTGTGTCCTCAATGAAGCAAAATTACTGTTTCCTGATAGGATGAAACAACGTATTGCATCTCACAAGTTTGGTTCTAAAGATTATTGGCGGTTCTTCAAGTATGTGCTGAACTTCAGCAAATCCTCACTCCCTGCTCTATTCAATAAATTCGGAGTTCTAACATCCTCAGCTGATAACGTGGAATTCTTTACTCGGAAATTCTGATCCAACTCAACTCAATAATCATCCGGGGTATCCACACTTGATTTTCCCGTAGAACTGAGTCTATACTGAGTTAGATGTACCTAACCCTGTCGATAGTATTAGACATCATTTCTAAATTAGACTCTCATAAAGCATGTGGTGCTGAAGGGATACAAGCCATAGTTTTAAAGAAATTTGCAACTGGGCTGGATGTTGTTCTCTCCAAACGCTACAACTACTGCCGTGCAGATTCTTGCTTCCCAGCCTGTTGCAAGTCCTCTTCTGTCTTCCCGGTCTTTAAGATTGAGACTCTTCTGACTCATTTAACTACTGTCTCATCAGTCTCCCACCATTCTTCAGCAAATTCTTCGAGGCCGAAGTAGGTAAGCATCTCACCTTTCTTGATCTGCTCTGTGACAAGAAATATGGTTTCCATTTACCCGGTTTACCGCTGATGTGCTTACGTCCAGAAAGGAATATGCATATCAGGACCTTGATATTAACGGCGAAGCTCGAGCTATTGCTCTAGATATATCGAAGGCGTTTGATAGAATTTGGCACGCTGGCCCTCTATGTAAGCTTCAGGAATACGGTATTACAGGACGATTATTTGATTTAATCCAATCATTCCTCTCTAACCGTGAAGTGAAGGTTGTCCTGAACGGGTTCTCTTCCAGTTCCTTCCATACGAATGCTGGTGTTCCTCAAAGCTCTATCTTTGGTCTTATACTGACTCTGATCTTCATCAATGATCTTCCTGACATCATCAGTTCTCAAGTCGGCATCTACGCAGACGAAACTACCATTTACCCCATAATTAGTAGTAAATCGGGCATTGCTGTGAAAATTAACCTCGCCGTTAGTCTCGAAATCGACCTCCAACCTAAGGTTGACTGGGGCAGGGTATGGCTTGTGAAATTTAATGAATTCAAAACGAAATTGCTCTCATTTACTTACCGAAGAGAAATGTACCTGCCTCCTATCAGGATGGCTGATGCTCAACTCCACGAGAGCGTCTCACTGCGCCTTCTTGGTGTCACGTCCTCCACTCACCTGAGTTGGAACAACTATACTGAATCAATTGCTGCATCTATCGCAAAGAAATTTGATCCTCTGTGTCGGCCCAGAAGGTTTTTTTTTTCTGAGTCCATCCTTCATATCTACAAATCTACCATGCATGAAATATTATAGCCATATATGGTCTGGTACTCCCACTGTTCCTCTCAAGGTTCTCGACAAAATCCAAAAACGGATATGCAATTTGATTGGTCCTGACTTGTGGTTTCGACTCCAGTCACTTTGTCAGCAACGTAATGTGGCTTCCTTCTGTCTTTTCACATAAATACTTTCATGGCATTTTTTCTGACAAGCTATTTCCAATGTTACCCGGATTGCATGAATTCAAGCGTGTTACTAGGTTGGCATCTCGCTTCAACCCTAATGTCGAAACAGTTAAATATAACCGCCTCTTCTACTCCAACAGCTTCTTCTTTCGCACTTCCCGACAGTGAAACTCCCTTCCTCTTAATTGCTTCCCTGATAATTATAATCTTCAAAAATTCAAATGTAATGTCAATCGAAATCTTCTATCGTTTTGATTCCCGTTCTTCATCCTCCTTTTTATCCTATTCTCAACTCCCCTATAACCTGTCTTTTCCCTTACGTACACTCTCTGCACCCACTTGCATATTAGTGGCACTCCCACCTTGCTTGGAGTGAATCGCTTAAAGAAAATATATATAAGCATTCATCTAGAGGTTCTTGACAAAATCCGAAGAAGGATCTGCAATGTAATCGATCCTGAATTGGCATCTCGATTTCAGTTACTTTCTCACCGACGGGACGTGGCTTCCCTCTTTATTTTCTACACTTTCATGTCTATTGCTCTGACGACATGAATTCAAGCGTGCTACTAGATTGACATCTGGGCCCCACCCTTTTACTGTTGAAATAGTTAAATGGGACCGCTAGGTCTACTCGAACAATTTCTCTTCTCACGCTTCCGCCTATACAACTTCATTCCGTTTACTTGCTTCCCTGATAACTACAATCTTCGAAAATTTAAATTCAACGTCAGTTACCATCATCTATCTTCTTAAATCTGTTCATCTTTTATCCTTTCTCCAATCCCTGCAATACCCAGTCATTTCTGTCACTTTCATTCATTGTAACCACCTACGAACTGGTGGCATTTCCGCCTTCCTTGTACTGAAATGATTTTTTTTTTAAACTCATAAACCATTGGACGTTCTAAAGCGGTAAAATATAAGGAAAAATGTTCAGAAGTAAAATAATACATTTTTTCTAGTTTGGACTTCTGTGGGTTAATATCCACCATTTTATATGAGAAAATATGTTTTTAAAAGAAATCTCTATATTTTTTTATATATTTGCTACCAGTAACTGGAAATCAAAAATAGTAGTGAATATTTTAATTTAATCAAATTAAAGATAATTAATTTAATCAAATTAACGCATACAAATAAAATACAGCACACACACTTAAAACCACTTGGAATATCTGCATAAAATAAACAGAAACTGAAAGAGTTGTCATACACAATATACAAAGTGTGATGGATGAATTGTCGTCTAAATTACGAAAATGAAAATAACACTGACATCTCATTTTAACAGATATATTTATCAAAATTATACAACAATATCTTGAAATACTACAGAGTAAATTTATTCAATGAAATTGTAATTGGCTTCAACTACGGCCTCCAAACGACTTCGGAATCTCCTGCATCTGTTCTCGACACTTTGTTAGAGTTTTTGAATGCTTGCCTTCAGTTCCTTTTTTTGTGTTAGGTCTCTTGCTCAACTGCACCTTACACACAGTAATCAAGGGGGTTGCAGATTGGGAAGTTATGTGGCCAGGTGGAAGGGTGATGTGGTCGCAGAAATTGTTTGCAGCCATGATTGAGTTATTCTCCTTGTTTCGCATCGTGCAGACTCCTGTTGACATACATATGATCTTCCGGCAGCCACCTCCTTGCCCCAGAGCAGTACTACCCACTCAAGGCACTTGATGTAAGCCTCTGTTTAGTCTGAGGTACTGTGGGGAAATAAATGGAAGCATAACGTTGCTCGCACTAGCGATCACTACAAACGCCTTCGTAGTAACTAGACTCATCCAACACTTCTCGAATCCTCTACGCTGTCATTGACCCCTAAACACACTCAAATGTCGGTACTGGAGATTCCGGCGCGAATGCTAAGCTGTGCACCATGCCGTTTCCAAATTTATGGCGGAGGGAATTGCGCAATGATACTCGTTTTCTCAAAGGCGGCGCCCTACTATAATATGCAGTCGGCAAAATCAAATACAAACAACGCACATACACGAAATGAAAAATATAAAATGGCGACAATTTACCCCGCGTACCATAAATATATATTGATTATTGCTCTCCACAATTTCCTATCCAGTGTACATCTCGTTTTTTACTATCTTTCCCAATCCTTTTCCTACCATCCATTTGCTCGTAAGAGAGATAACTCTTTGTTTACATTTACACCAAATGACTAACCTGTGTTCTGAGTGCTGAATTGTCTAAACCTTTTATTCTCATAATGTGTCCCCAAAATTTTAACTGGCACTTTCTGGTTTGGTTCTAAGAGTAAGTGCCTTTTTTATTTCCATTTTGCTTAATTCTTCCTCGTTGCTCACATGTTCCGTCCACGATATTCCCACCATCATTTCTTCAATACCACGTCTTTGTTACTTCTTTTCTCCTCTTCATGGCGAGGAAACTATCCATTTCATAACCATATAGAAGAATAAAAATTACGTAGCTGTTCTGCACTCTTTTCTTTGTTTCAAACGATATTTTCCCGTTTCATAATACTTTGTTTAGCTCTTTGGTACCTTTTGCTAGTCCAATGAGTTTTCGGATTTCTGTCTTACATTTTCCGTCGTCTGTTAAAAATACTTCACAGCATCCAGAACCGATACGGGTAGCAAACTGCTTCATACGGTAGAAAATTAATTTAGTAATTTTAAAAATAGAAAGGGGTGTAACGAGGATGTGTCTTCTCATCTGACGATTTCAACCTATACTGTGATGAAATTCTACCAGGATTCATTATTGGAGGCCAGAAACTTAACAGTAATAGATGTGCAATATTGGTAGCAGGCACAGCAAAGAAGTTCCAAGAACTCCTATAGAACGCGAAAAGAAAGTCCTAAACATAAATTACAAGACAAAATACATGGTTGTTAGCAATAATAATAGCCCAACATGCAAATTACAAATTGGAGATAACAATATCAAACAAGTATAACTTAAATATCTAAGAAGTCATTTAACAAAGGAAAGTCATTTAACAGAAGACTCAAACCCGAAGGCGCCTTGTGATAGTAAAAGATATCTTCCAAAAGCTAAGCAAAGTATTAAAAACAGAAGAAAATTATCGTCCTAGTGACATTGTCGCCTTACTTGGGGTGAAACGATTAAAAACAAAATTCTCAATTACTCAACCCTTCCGCACAATCGTCTCTTCTCGCTGATTCAGTATCTCAACTTTCGCGAACTCCGCTCGATACCACCGAATGCCCAGTGGTCAGGGCGCCATTGGCCATGGTGATATTTATGATGTAAAAACATTTAAAGATATACAATAACTTTATTTCACGCCGTTTTCGTGAAGCAGAAATTTGAGAGATTATTTTACGCCTCTTATGTGAAGGATTGTCGGATTAAACATCAATTATCAAAAGATAGAATCTATCGTTTCTAATAAGAGAAACAGTCCAAGCTGAAAGCTACGTATTAGAAATGTCAAAATCAAGGAAGCGCGGAATTTTAAATATCTTTTTTACAAACGACAGATTAGATGGGACAGAAATCCGAAGACACAATGCAATAGTTGAAAGATGCCTTCGAAAAGCTACCCGAAGCATTCAGTTAATTAAGTGTCACACGCTTGGGCGATCATGTATCTTTCGATGCATGACTGACGAGACAGAAGATTTTTTCCTCAGTCTGTTGCCATGTCTTTCTGCTGTAGCTTGGTTGCCAACAAAGGCTAAAGAACTTGGTCGGTTCTTATCTTTAACCCATAGCTGGAGGAAGAAGAGATACATTCATACCTTTCCCAACGGTATTTATGCGTAACTGAATATAAAAAACACGACTAAAATTCTAACTCTACTCTCCTCTTCCATTGAAAAAGAGAAAAAGATTGTTAGAAACAAAAAATAAATAGATCGCCGAAATGCTACGTGATATTAATTATCCTAGAGGGCAGTGAATGCTGCATAATTTCTTCACAGATGTAGAGGAGCATGCTGAGAATACCTGAGATGGAGCATGTCAGCAACGAAGAAGTATTAAAGAAAATGGAAGCAAAATGTGTACTTAAAATCGGAAAGAGACAGTCTAAATTTTTGGTATAATTAATAAGAAAAACGGACTTGCAGAATTTGCCACAAGCAGGACAAATTGCTACCAAGTGGGACAGAGGAAAACAAAAAGTAACCTATTTAACGAGATTACTTAAATGGGTTACAGAATAGTACGTGGGATGGATAGTAAAATGCCAAATATTGATAAGAGCTACAAATGACAGGAAATTATGGAGATCCATGATCACCAACGCCATGAAGTGACAGGACATAGAAAAAGTTAAATGAAATTTTCATGTTCTTGTGTGCAAAAATATCCTCGTTTTATTATTTATAAGGTTTTTTATTAAAATCTTATCATTAAGCTAATGAAATCGATCTAAAGTCTTATTTCAAAACAAAATTACAATAAACCTACATGCCTTCACTTCTTTTCTGGTTTATCTATAGACGTTCACTGATTTGAGAAGGTCGTGTTTCATTTCAAATTCCAACCACGAAAATCACCGGACCACTATCCGAATGTCTTGATGTCCACAATCTTCTGCAAGGTTGATAATTCCAGGCCGGAATCGAAAAGCGTTATTTGTGAAATTGATTCATGGCTTTGATAGGACCGGGGATCTGTCAAAAACACAGCTCAGCTGGATGCAACACAAAGTGACCGGTCGGTTGGCCTCGCGACCTGGTCAACGGTGTGTTAAGTTCGGCCACGTTGGTTGGATCCATTGCCGCCATGGTGGAGTTTAAACAGCGGCAGACATTCATCATTTAATTGAAAGTTATCTATGTGCGATGATTGCGTAGATTTACGTTCGTTCCAACGCGGTGCCTTGGCGAACTAGGCAGACCCGATGAAGAGAAGACAAACTGGCCGGCAAACGGAGCCGACAGCCGTGGCGGGAGACCATTTGCGGCCAACAATGGTCATTCATTAACAACATCGATACCAGTTTCTAACTGAAAAGACAAATGTCCCCTCACACTTTTCTTTCACATTCTCTCTCTTGCTTCCCTTTGTTGTTTTACACCTCACTCGATCTACTTTCTCTTTATAAAGACATTAATCAATCTCCCTGCGCTTACTCATTTCTTTTTTCGAATTACTTTATGCATACTCTATCGCTCTCCATCTTTCTCTCTGTTTAGCTATCTTTCTGTCTTTTTACCAAACATTTCTACTCCTCGTTTCCACTGCTCGCATTCTATTTATATATCTATTTACCTCTCTGCGTTACTTTCTCTCAATTTTATTCACTTCAAGCTCACTTCACCCAACTCTTACCATATCTACTTTTTTTCTTTATCTCTCTCTCTCTCTCTCTCTCTCTCTCTCTCTCTCTCTCTCTCTCTCTCTCTCTCTCATACATTCTATTCTTCTAAATAGATATCTATCTGTTCGGGCGTTGGTCTGTTTCTTTTCCTGTCTCTCTGGCTGTGTCTCTGTCAGCCTCTGTCTGTCTCTCTCTTTCTCTCTCTCTCTCTCTCTCTTTCTCTCATACATCTCTGTCAGTCTCTGTCTGTCTGTCTCTCTCTCTCTCTCTCATACATTGTATTCTTCTAAATAGATATCTATCTGTTCAGGCGTTGGTCTGTTTCTTTTCCTGTCTATCTGGCTGTGTCTCTGTCAGTCTCTGTCTGTCTGTCTGTCTGTCTGTCTCTCTCTCTCTCTCTCTCTCTGTCTCTCGTACATTTTGTTCTTCTATCTATTCAGTCGTTGTTCAGTTTGTTTGCCTGTATATCTGTCTGTCTGTTTCAGTCTGTCTGTCTCTCTCTCCCTCTCACTTTCTCTCTCGTACATTCTGTTCTTCTCAATACATATCACACTTTCTCAATCTGTCTGTCCATGTGGTTTTCTGTCTGTCGGTATTTCTCTCTCTCTCTCTTTCTCTCTCTCTCTCTCTCTCTCTCTCTAACTCTCCCGCTGTCTCTCATTCTCTTATTCTTAATAGGTATTTTTCCTTTTAAACTCTGCCATATGTGCCTATATTTTTGGCGTACGTGCGTATATAATTATTTAATACTCGTTATATATCATCGTGTAAGACAGCACAGTAACGAGAATTGTGGCTTTAGAGATTGACTCGCAGGAGTTAGAAAGGTAGACTAAAAGAGTGTAATAAGTATACTGTTTCGCGCAAACATAAAAGGCAAAAATGCTAATAGGTAGATCGATAATTGTAATATAGATAGATAGATGACTAAGAGACTGAAATATATAGTTACATAGATAGATAGATAGATAGATAGATAGATAGATAGATAGATATGAACAGGCCGAAATAGATAGATAGATAGATAGATAGATAGATAGATAGATAGATAGATAGATAGATAGATATTAACTGACTTAGATATCTCGATAAATAGATATTCAGAATCTCAAAGAAACACGTAATATATAGAAATATACATATAAATATATATATACACACACACATATATACATATATATATAAATATATATATATACACACACACACACACATATATATATATATATATATATATATATATAGATAGATAGATAGATAGATAGATAGATAGATAGATAACTATACACATCTCGAAAAACCTTCAAATTTTTGATATGCCAATAATCAAATCAATCTCGAAGGAAAAAAAGGTTTTAAAAAAAAGAAAGAGCTAGAAACATGAATGTCTGTCGAAAAAAATCGCACAGATACAGGTTTAAAGCTCAAAGAAAAAAAAACCGATACGAGTAAACAACTAAGAAAAGAGCTCAATACAACCGTAGAGCAAACCTAGATAAACCTAGTGAGCCAGACAAACCTACCCAGGTTTCACCTAAGCGGAACGTCAGGGAAAGCTGGCCAGCCTTCCCTGACGATCCGCTCACTAGGTTTAAATATATATATCTATATATCTATATCTATCTATATCTATCTATCTATATATATATATATATATATACACACGCCTAAATGCGTGTATCTAAAGGTTCAATTATTTTCAACTTCTCTAATCATTTTGATCGTCTAAATTTCACCGACTGCCTTCTTTCTCTTATATTCTCTTCGACCGATGGTTCGATCAATCAATCTAACCATCCGTTTAAAATCCCCAGTTTTAAATGTTGATCATTTTTTCTCTTTTTCTCTTTTCTCCTATGTTTTTCCTCTTCATCCCTCTCTTCATTAATGTCCATTCTGTTCATTTATCGAGAGATTCACTTCGTAATGACATTTTCTCTCAAACCTCCGTATCATGCTTTTTTCTCTTTTCTTTTTTTACTTTTCTTTCTCGCAATGTCTCTATAATTTCTTTCTCAACACTTTTGCACTCTTTCCGTTTTGCTTACTCTTTTCTTTAAATTGTAGGAAAAGGTTTCCTGAAACTATTGCCACTCTCTGTTAACCTCAGTGTCCATTTTATAAATGCATACGCTGTATCCTTAATATTGGACAGACATTTAAAATATAACATCTATAACGTATCATTAAACTATATGTTTATCATATATCAAATTTTATATAAGAATGTTAATGCTCCCGCTGTTGTTTTGGGCATCTCGAAAGCATTTGACAGGATTTGGTATACCGGCTTTTGATATTTCTGTAAGGATATTTGAACTCATCAAATCGCGAAATGAAAGTTGTCCTGAACGGGCTCTCTTCAAAATCTTTCTGCATTAATGCATGTCTCACTCAAGGCTCTATCATTAGCATTACACAGTTCCTAATATTTATCAATGACCTACCTGACAGCATCAGTTCTCAATCGGTATCTATGCTGATGATACAAATATTTACGCATGCCTTGGCAGCTGATCTAAAAGATGAGCTACAATCTGCAGGAGTAAGCAATAGCTTGTTAATTTTAACGCTTTCAAAACGAATCTGCTCTCTATCAAACATCTGAGAGAAACCTTTCTGCATTTCATCAGAATGGCTAATGCTAACCTCCAGGAGATTGACTCGTTACGCTTTCTTGGGCTAACATTTTCTGCTGGAATCAATTGGAAAGATTATATTCAATCAATAGCTAGGTCTACTCCTATGAATATTAATTTCCTGTGTCGGGCTAAACATTTTTTTCCTGAATCTATCCTACATTTACCATTTGTCCACGCATTGAATATTGTTGTCACATATAATCTGGAGCTCTTGCTATACATTTAGAAATTCTTGACAAACTCCAAAGAGAATATGCAATGTTATCGATCCTGACCTGGCATCTCGCTTCAGTCACTTTCCCATCGCCAAAAAGTAGTTTCCCTGTACCTTTTCTATAAATACTTTCATGGTAAGTGTTCTAATGAACTTTTCTCTGTGACTTTAAACGCAGTACTAGATCCTGAATAAGATCGCATCATTTTTACAATGGCTAGGTGATGAGTAGAGACTGGCCGTTTTATAATTCCAATTTTAATTAAAAAATATATGGGTAAAGCAATGGTGGTGCAGGCCATATATTATACGGGGATTCGTATAGGCGGATTTATATTTTATATTTAAAAAAAGGGGCATTACTGGTTTTATTTTATATTTAATATAAGGGGCATTTCTGGTTTTATTTTATATTTAGAATGAGGGGCATTACTGGTTTTATTTTATATTTAAAATAAGGGGCATTATTGGTTTTATTTTATATTTAAAATAAGGGGCATTACCGGTTTTATTTTATATTTAAAATAAGGGGCATTGCTGGTTTTATTTTATATTTAAAATAAGGGGCATTATTGGTTTAATTTTATATTTAAAATAAGGGGCATTTCTCGATTTATTTTATATTTAAAATAAGGGGCATTACTGGTTTTATCTTATATTTAAAATAAGAGGCATTACTGGTTTTATTTTATATTTAAAATAAGGGGCATTACTGATTTTATTTTATATTTAAAATAAGGGGCATTATTGGTTTAATTTTATATTTAAAATAAGGGGCATTTCTGGATTTATTTTATATTTAAAATAAGGGGCATTACTGGTTTTATCTTATATTTAAAATAAGGGGCATTATTGGTTTTATTTTATATTTAAAATAAGGGGCATTACTGGTTTTATTTTATATTTAAGATAAGGGGCATTTCTGGTTTTATTTTATATTTAAAATGAGGGGCATTACTGGTTTTATTTTATATTTAAAAAAAGGGGCATTTCTGGTTTCATTTTATATTTAAAATAAGGGGCATTACTGGTTTTATATTATGTTTAAAATAAGGCGCATTATTGGTTTTATTTTATATTTAAAATAAGGGGCATTACTGGTTTTATTTTATATTTAAAATAAGGGGCATTGCTGGATTTATTTTATATTTAAAATAAGGGGCATTACTGGTTTTATTTTATATTTAAAATAATGGGAATTACTGGGGTTTTTTTTTCATATTTAAAATAAGGGGCATTACTGGTTTTATTTTATATTTAAAATAAGGCGCATTACTGGTTTTATTTTATATTTAAAATAAGGGGCATTACTGGTTTTATTTTATATTTAAAATAAGGGGTATTACTGGTTTTATTTTATATTCAAAACAGGGGGTATTACTGGGATTATTTTATGTTTAAAATAAGGGTCTATTACTGGTTTATTTTATATTTAAAATAAGGGGCATTTCTGGTTTTAATTTATATTTAAAATAAGGGACATTACTGGTTTTATTTTATATTTAAAATAAGGGGAATTACTGGGTTTTTTTTTTTCATATTTAAAATAATGGGCATTACTGGGTTTATTTTATATTTAAAATAAGGGGCATTATTGGTTTTATTTTATATTTAAAATAAGGGGCATTACTGATTTTATTTTATATTTAAAATAAGGGGCATTACTGGTTTTATTTTATATTTAAAATAAGGGGCATTACTGGTTTATTTTATATTTAAGATAAGGGGAATTACTGGTTTATTTTATATTTAAGATAAGGGGAATTACTGGTTTTATTTTATATTTAAAATAAGGGGCATTACTGGTATTATTTTATATTTAAGATATCGGGTATTTCTGGATTTATTTTATATTTAAAATAAGGGGCATTATTGGTTTTATTTTATATTTAAAATAAGGGGCATTACTGGTTTTATTTTTTATTTAAAATAAGGGGCTTTACTGGTTTTATTTTATATTTAAAATAAGGCGCATTACTGGTTTTATTTTATATTTAAAATAAGGGGTATTACTGGTTTTATTTTATATTTAAAACAATGGGCTTTACTGGGTTTATTTTATATTTAAAATAAGTGGCATTGCTGGTTTTATTTTATATTTAAAATAAGGGGCATTATTGGTTTTATTTTATATTTAAAATAAGGGACATTTCTGGATTTTTTTATATTTAAAATAAACGGGGATTAATTGTATTTTTAAACATTTTGTGTTAAAATAAAGGATCCTAAAACTATTTAAAAATCTATTTAAAATAGACGAGATTTATAATTTATAATTAAAATAAACGAATGTAAAACTAGTTTTTGATAAAATATGTTAGGGTATTTCAAGTAATTACATTGTTCGGACTGTTGTCCTGATCTTTAATTGCAAACCCTAACCCTTTATTTCGTCCACCAGGATAGATTGTTCTCGTTATCTCCAAGATTTTGTTCACCACTGCAGTAGCCAGGTATAGAAATTACAACTCATTAGGCAAAGTCACTAAATCCAACCAACCCCTTTTATCAACTGCGCCATGTGTCACTGAGCGCATTTAAGCGTTTTTTCTACAAGTCATAAATTACATCTAACGCCTTTCCAATTGTAAGCTCTGGTTTTATCTACAATATCCCCCTATTCTTTAATGGCCAGGAATGTTTGGAGAGAGCAGTGCTATTCAAGTATCTTACATTACCTAAAGTCATTTGATTTTGATAGAATTGAAATTTTTAAGGGTTTTCAGTTTTACTAAAATAAAATTTAACTTCGTTACCGAAATTTATGCTCGCTCGGTATACAATATTTTCAGTTATATATTTCCCCTTTAAGGGATAGATTGTATTTTTCGGCAGTTGAAGTTCTTTATTTTAAATCGATAAACGTTGTTATTTTTGTTGGTGATATAATATTGTTATATTGGGATGTAGATTTTTCAATGTTTCTAACGCAGCTATAGCTGATCTTTACATTATTTATGTGAAAAATCTTCTTTAATATTTCAGAGTAATTGAAGTCTTTATGAATTAACTTTAGGAACATTTTGACTATAAAGGGGGCTAAACGATAACACATTAAGGTGTTTCTGTTTGTTATTACCTTATTTGTGGTTTTCTAAATATTCTATATTTACTTTATTGCTGCTTAGTTTTAATGCTTTTATAAGTTTAATTTTATTATTATCAGTTATTTCATTATTACTGAGGTTAGTAGTTATCTAAATTGGATAGATATATGCAAGTTAGTTATAATAGTAGGTACATGTTTGGGTTCATTGTTAATGTGTCTATATTTATGCATATCTTTGGTATATCATTGCTAATAACCAGTACTCAAGTCCAAGTTCTAATCGAGAATTTAGCATAAGTGGTTGTGGCAATTTTTAGTTAGGGATCGTTGAAGAATTTAATCACTTATTTTCTCGGTCGGTCTGTGTTTCTTGAACTTGTTTTACGGGAGAGAATCACACTGTCATTTCTGTAGAGTCAAGTGTCCTTAAAAAGAAAGCTTAATCACCACAATAACAAAATTCCAACCAGCTCGCATGCCTTTTCAGAATTAAACGAACCCATAGCAATGTTAAATTGTGTGTTGTTTCTTTTAGTCCACATACCCCCATTATGATATAACATAGGTTTTTGCGCCTGTGTAATGATTTTAAACTCGTTATCCCTAATAGCACAGTAATCTTTAGATAAATTCACGGCAGATATTAGCAGATTCTCGGTGACGGATGGGTTAAAACTCAAAAATATCAAATTGAATCAACGTACATTCGTTCTTCCTTTGTATATTAGAAAACTATTCCAAGGCTTCTGCTGTATTATGCCATGGGTTAATTCCTACAGTTTCTTTCGTATATTTCCAAGCTCTTTCAGTGATATATTTACTAATTTTACCGGTATTACTTTTAGTTGGGTTGAGTAATCGGTATTGTGGATTGTTTTGGAAATTATTTTTGCTGTCTTTATGTGAATGGCTGCTGCTTATGGAATTTATAAATTCTATCACCAATTTTTAGTATAGTGGCTATTTTTTGGCTTCATTGTTGATATAATTTTCCCAACTGTTGGGTGCCTTTTTATAAAACATTGTAAGTTTAATGGCCTTGTAATACTTCCTCACATCGATTTTGTAATGATTAACTGACTTCTTAATTTTTAAACGTCCTTTTGCGTTTTCTGCTGCAGTTCGTTAGTAGCTTTAGTAAATTTAATTTTGTCAATAATCGAGAATAGATCCTTCTCGAAGTCCATTATCTGTTCATCACCAGGTGGTAATGATTTTGTAGATTTACATCCATAATGTTCGCTCACATTGGTCCAATAAGAAAGTAGCCTATTACGGAATGTTCACTGTATAGTACTTGACAAATGTAATTAATGTAGAATTGTTAATTGCATTGTCAAGGGGATTATATTGAAAAAAATATATATATAATAAAAAGGCTTAAACACTAATATTCCTTGGTCATAATTTATTCAATTGGAATCATTAAAAACATATAGAAATCCAATAATTTATGGATTAAAGCCGACAAATCAAAAAATTTCTATAAAATTAAACCCTCTGAATATGACAAACTCGTCACTGACAACATTACCAGCTCTTATAAAAAAGACAAAGACAATAGCACCTTATCATCTATCAATGAAGACATCTGCAAATTTGCTAACAAATGTGGAGTAAAAGAAAAAAAAACTTTTTGAATTTGTAGGTCTGATGAATTGGATCGCATTTACCATTCCAATGGAATAAATTATGACCATGGAATATTAGTGTTTAAGCCTTTTTATTATATCCTTACTCTGTCCTGAACATTGAGTTATACCTGGATTCTATCCTCTTGGAATTTTTTTATTCAAAAATATATATGTATGTGTATGCACCTATGCATATATATTTATATATTTTGCATATGTATGTGTATATACCACTAATATTATCAACATCAATCTATCTATCTATCTATCTATCTATCTCTCTCTCTCTCTCTCTCTCTCTATATATATATATATATATATATATATATATATATATATATATATATATATATTGTTTAAAAGGTGCTGTATTTATAGGGGAATAGTGACAAATATCGTAGGGAAAACTTTTATAAATATAGAGAGTGCGGTCGTTGGAATCGGCAATGCATGATGGCTGTCAGTTTTACGCTTAAATGCTATCTCCAGAAACAGTTTGGCTTGAAGATGACAATGAAGCGTGAAGTGTACAATCATCATACAGTATTAATTCTATGTCCACATTTACTCTACGCTTTACGCTCTATCTCTCTCTACCTCTGTCCATCTCTCTCTCTCTCTCTCTCTCTCTATATATATATATATATATATATATATATATATATATATATATCTTATGAATATAAGTAATTATTCTCGTCTGGAAAAAACCTTAGGTATTTTGGCATGTAAATGAACAAACCAATACCCAAGGAAAAATAAGGAATAAAAAAAGAAAGAACTAAAAACATGTAATTCAGACGAAAAAAATCGCCCAGAATCCAAGCTCAGAGTCCATAGAAAAAAAACCTCCAACACGAGTAAAGCAAAACTAACTAAGCAAAGTGCTCAATACGCTAAGTAGAGCTAATCTAACTATGAACCTAAAGAGCCAGGCAAACCTACCTAGGTTTCACCTACGCGGATCCTCAGGGTACGCTGTCCAAAGAAGAACATTAGAACAGAATATAAATAGCCTACAACATAATAACATGACCATGTAATAAAAAAAGAAATAAAATAAACAATAATCAACGGGAGGGGATAATGCATATTTATTCAATTAAAAAAAAATGGGAGAGAGAAGAAGCCTATATTAGTAACCAGTGTTTCCTTTCTCTACACTTACTCAAGATTTCAGATTTTAGATTAAGCAAATTGCTGGGTTCTTTATACAAAACGATGGCTAACTTTTCCTCTATACATAGAAGACAAATTTTATTACCTACTTTATACATATAAAATTACAAATCATATATATATATATATATATATATACCCAACACTGAGAATTTCTTGTTTATAAATAGCAAATATAAAATCACACACAAATATATATTTATTTATGCACAAAAAATACTCAGTGTTGTACATGTATATATATAATTTGTAATTTTATTTGTTGGGCATATATATGTATGTGTTTGTGTGTGCGTCTGTGTGCGCGCGAGTGCGTGTGCGCGCGTGTGTGTGCGCGTGCGTGTGTGTGCGTGTGTGTGTGTGTGTGCTATGGATTTTATGTTGAGCATATTTTTCTTGAATAAGATAATAGTTTGCGCAGTATATTTTTGCTATAAAAACGAATGATGTAGTCGCATAACGAAACATGTTCCCAACGCTGCTTTATTTATTTACTCTTCTATTTGTGTAACAATTTCTCTGTGGATAGTTTTATTTTTATGTGTTTCTACTTTTCTCAGCAAATACTTCTCTCCTCTACATCTCTCTCTCTCTCTCTCTCGCCTCTCTTACTCATCTGATATCTTCTGTCTCTCTCTCACGCGCACAGAGAAGGAAAATAATAGCTTCGTATTATTGCACAGTTTGTCTTACTGTCAATGATCCTTGTGTTCTTTCTCTGAATCTTTTACCAGTTAGTCTTTTATTTCCTTATTCGCTTTCTCTCTCTTCAAACATACGTTATAACTTTCATTGACTCTCAGCTACAGCCTTTTCTTAACTTTAACTTCCCATACCTCATTCACGCAGTTTGCTATCTTTTTTTTTTTTTCTCTCTCTGTTCTCACTTCTCTTTGACTCATTCCTTGACTGATATTTTACTAACATTATCTTTTCTCTGTTTTTACTTTTGGTTTTGCTTGTTGGTTTTTCCCTTCTTCTACAACAGTCTCTCTTTATCTCTCTCTCTCGCAGCTTCCCCCTCTGTTCCTTTCCCGTGTTTTCTTCCCACCTACTGTTACCTTCTTATCATTCTCATGCTCTTTGCTTTTCTAATATATCATAAGATTTTCTGAAGCATTCTCTCTCTGGTATTTCTTTTCTTCTCCCTATCACAGTTTCTTCTCTTACTCTCTTCCTTTTTTTTTCATTCGAATTCCCATATATTTCCTCTTTATCTCTCTCACACAGACATTCACACACGCTTTGTCATCTTTTCTTACTTTTTCTCTCTCTGTTTCTCAAGCCTCTTTTTCGTTCACATACTTTGTTTCTCACTCTTTCTGATTATCATCGGTGTCTTTTCTTTCTCATTCCTTTTTAGTTTCAAATATTTGTATTTTTATTTTCTTTCTATCAGAAGCTTTTTTCTCTAATGCTTCATGATTGTTTGATGAGAACGTTCCTCTTATTTTTTTATTTTTTTTCTTTATAGCGGTTCCTTTTACCTCAGACATTTTGCCTCTTTCGTTCTTTCTCACTCTCACCCTCTCACTCTCTCTTACACTTTTTGCATCTATATTTTCCCTCTATTTTCACATCCGTATTTCTTTTTACATCTATATTTCTCTCTCATTAAAATCTAGTCTTAGACTTTTTCTGTTATTTAGCCGATTCCTTCCTCTCTTGACGTATTTCTCTTTTTCAATGCCTTACTCTCTCTCTCTCTTTCTTTTTATCATTCATTCTACTATTTTCTGTCTCTCATTTAAATATATCCCAAACCATTCATGTTTCTTGTATTTACTGCCGATCTTTCAGACTGTCTGCGTTAAATTTCCTCACTTCTCACCTCCTACTCATCATCGCTGACTCCCAACGCTGCCCAGAGCCTTAACACGCGTTTTTGCATATCTCCAAGTATAAACATAATTCTTTCTCCAGCTTTGACTTGCCTCCATTTTGACATATCACGCAAGCAATGTTATTTATCTTTGACACTTTTCAGAAATCCTGATGTGTATGCACGTAAGTTTCTGGCCGATACCTGATTGGTCTGGGCGTCTACCACAGAGCAAAATGATTTTGCTAGTTTCCCAAGCTGTTGTCAGTACCAACACTTCTCAATAGGGTATCAATGAATTTCACGTTATACATACAAAAACTGACTATTCTATTATAAGTAGCCCTTGTTATCTGTACATCAACATGTTTTTGTAAGAAGTCATTAAAATTAATTTCGTTTCTGACTTGGCGCATCTTTATTTTGAAGCTGTACTTAAACAAATGCCTGCTTGATAGAAATCACGGGGTTAAATCATTAAAATCACTGCCCTAACACTTAGTTATTTTGGAAGGTTTCACGTGAGATTTTCATTAGATCACTAGAATTCATTTTAATCTCCGAAAGTTTATCTTTACAGTAGACATACTTTATATTTTTCTCAACATTCGGAGATCAAATATAATTCTCGAGATCTAATGAAAATCTCACTTCGGGCATTAGCTAATAACTAAGTAAGTGTTAAGCCACTAACTTTACATGATCTATATCCGCAGTTTCTATCAAACAGGCATTTGTTGAATAAATATCTGCATAGGTTCAAAATAAAGAGATGTCAAGTCAGAAACAAACTCAATTTTAATGGCTTCTGACAATAACATGTTACCGCGCAGATTACAAGAGCAACTCATAATAGAATTATCAGCTTTTGTTGGTATAACATGAAAGTCATAGAACAAGTATTTTTTATATATCATCTCTAGCTTAGGTGCTTTAACAAGGAAGATTCTTTTTCTTATATGCACCGTGACCGTTTAGAACGTTGGTGATTATAGTTTCCCCTCTAACTTCCTCTTATTTGTAGCTCTAAACAATATTTCCTCTCTAAATAAACCTTCCAGTTTTAACATCTATTTACACAAGGTCTTTAGGTTCAATGCTCGCTGTTTCCTCTCATCCTTTCACTTTATATTTTCCGTGTCAATTCTCCAGTACTTCTTTACTTGTTATGTCTCCGTTAAATATCAACTGCATCTTTCTCATTCTAAATATTTCCATTTTCCCTAATACTTCCCTCATTGATCACATGATACGTCCGTATTATTCTTATCATCATTCTTCAGAAACTGTTGTGGCATCGTCCTTATAATGAGTCTATTGTGGACTCTTCCACTTACTATAAACTTAGTAGGAAAAGTTGGCCTGGGGGGGTGATGATGATACACAATCTCAAGTCGTGTAACACTTCTATTGTATTTGCTGTTCAACACACTATTTATCTGCAACCTCTTGTTTTATTCCTTAACTTGGTCACAACATCTTGGCGACAAAGGATTCGAAGAAACGAACTTCACGTTAAAATATATATATATATATATATATATATATATATATATATATATATATATATATTTGTCGCACAACATCTTGGCAACGACGGACTGGAAGAATCAATGGTGAAGAAAGAAACTCTACATCAAAACGATATTCAGTGTTAACTACTACACTATCAGTGAAAAAAAATTCCGTAAAACAATAGGATTTCTACAATTTCATTCAGTGGTTGGGAAGATTTGTGAACCTTGTTATTTTTTCCAACAAGACAGTAAATGAACTGAATAAGTCAAGCCGACTTATTGTTTTCGATAACAGCGTAAAAATTTACCCCTTTCTGGCATTTAATTTTTTTTTTCTGAAAAAGTATGTTTCAAGACAAGCAGTCTTATTTTTGGGTGAAGTGAAAGAAAATTTCAAAATTTTTCGTACCACCACAGTAAAATAGACGAATTTAATAGTGTAATGCTAGAGTCTACTTAGGCACAGCAGAATATACTAAGTTTGTTAACTATATTTTGCCTAAGAAAACCAGCGACTTGAAATTTAAAGAGGCGGTTTAATTATTAACAGAACTCTGCAGTTCAAAAAAAGTCAGCTTCACAAGCGTTGGAAATGCATGAATCTCACCCGCAAAGAAGACGAAGATTATACTACTTTCGCGAGTGTAGTCAAACACTGCGATGATTTCAAAATGGCAGAGGTAAGCGCCAATAATTTTAAATGCCTGATTATCATCCAGAGATTGATTTCAGCGAAAGACGCCGAAATACACCGTAGGGTGCTCAACAAGCTTGAAAACGATCCCGACGTTAATTTACAGCAAGTTGCCGAAGATTGCCAACGTTTTGTGAGCGTCAGAGAGGATTCGAAAAACATCGAACAGTGGCGTGGCTCACATTTAAACAAATACAAAGAAAAATTAAAAATGTCTAACCAAAAAATATTAAAGTTACTTTGCCGTCAAGACCATGTTTCGGTTGTGGTGAATTACATTGGTATAGAGATTGTCCTTTTAAAGATAAATGTTTTAATTGCGATAAAGTGGAACACAATAGTTCACACTGCAGGATTAAAAGCAAGATCAGGAAAAGTTGTTAAAAGTACCAAGTCTGATGAACCAGAAAGTAGTAACATCAGGAAATATATTGAAGTACAAATATGTAACAAAAATATACGGCTACAGCTTGATTCGGGTTCAGACTTATCCATAATTACTTATCACACATGGAAGAAATTGGATAAGACGACTTTGTTAAGAACGAACCGAATAGCTAAAGCTAAAATGGTGACACTATTAAGTTTATGGGCGAACGTGTCATTCAAAGGTAAAAACCTTAAAACTAAAGGCATATATTATGAAGAATACGGGTAATTTCTTTGGGACTGGGTGGTTAGAACAGTTTCAGCTTTAGGATATGCCAATTAACTCATTATGTCGAAAATGTGATTAACAAAGCAGAAAAGTTGAAAGGTGAACTTAAATTTTTTTCCGCCGTTTTCAGTGGAGGACGAGGAAATGCACAAAAATGTCTGCTAAGTTTGAGTTAAAGCCAGACGTAAACCCAGTTTTTAAGAAAAAAATGTAACATTCCATTTGCCTCGTTAAATAAAATTGACGAAGAATTGAATCTTCTTGAGCAAATGGAAGTTCTGGCAAAGGTTAAATATAACGAACGGGCATCTCCCACAGTTTACATTAAAAATGAGAAGAAACCTTCTCCTCAAGTATAAAATTTTGAATTACCAAAAATGCACAATACTCATTGGATTTACCACCCATTTTTTCATTATTTTAGTATAATGAATAGACTACTATTAACACGTGAAATGCGTGTCGAAATTTTTAAAAAAAAAGAACAAATGTGATGTAATTCCTACACATACATTTTTCAAAGTGTTGTTGCAGATTTTTTTCTTTTCTTTTTTTTTTTTCGCTGAATAAAGTATTGTGTGGTGATGGAAAAAGACTTCATGCGTAGTCAGGCTGAAAATGAGGTGTTGTGGTGTTCTCCCTCTATTGATGCTACTGTGGACTCTTCCACTGACTATAAAGTAGTAGGAAAGTAAGCTGTGGTGGAATTGGTGATATAGACTGAACGCTGGTCAACCGACACACACTCCCAAGTCGTGTAACACACTTCTGTTGTGTTTACTGTTCAATACACTATTTGCAACCTCTTGTTTTGTTATTCCTTAACCAATTACTTGGTCACAACAGAAACACACCTGCATTTTCAAGGTTCCTCTTTATATGTTATGTAATCTTTCTGTTTCTCCCAGGCCTGCAGAGACTTCGGACTGACTATCAGACGGAAAAAGACAAACGTCATAGAACAAGGTACCAAAACACCACTAGCCATCACCATTGATGACTATAAGCGGAATGCGGTCGATCAGTTCACATACCTTGGCTCCACCATCACTGACAACCTCTTCTTAGACACAGAAACTGACAAGAGAATCGGGAATGCAGCCACAACACTTGCGCGCCTCCCAAAACGTGTGTGGACCAATCCCAAGCTGTCGGTGAAGATCAACATGGTAGTGTACAACCCCTGCATTATCGGCACACTGCTATATGGCAGCGAGCCTTGGACCACATACGCCAGGCAAGAAAAGAGTCTGAACAACTTTCACATAAGAATCCGCCGCATCCTGGGAATAGCGTGGTAACACAAGGTGCCTAACACTGAGGTCCTGTCTCGAGCAGGTTTGCGCAGCATGTTCACATTGCCCAGACAGCGCACACTCCGTTGGTTGGGATACGTCCACCGCATGCCAGACGGTCGCATCCCCAAAGACCTACTATATGGAGAGCTGGCCTCTGAAAGGAAACCCGCCGGGCGGACACAAATGCGGTACTGCGATGTTTTGACGCACGACATGAAATCTGTGGGCATCAACACAGTATCCTGGGAGAGCTTGGCAGCCATACAATCCAAATGGAGAGAAACCATGACCAAATAACTCAAGTCAGGCGAGGAGAAGCTAGCAAAAGTCGCCACGGACGGCTGAAAGCAAAGTGACAGCTCCAACAAACCAGAGCCAGAACACACTTGCGACCTCTGCATCAGAGATTGCAGCGGCCTCTACAGTCACAGACGCCAATGCTCCAGCCAAGCCGACAACTAGGATGCTACCCATAGTCAAGCCTAAACGACGGAGGTCTAATTATGCTGTATTCACTGCCAAATAAGAAACCAATATTAACAGTTTCGCACTTTTTCTTTTGTTTCTAATATTTTTTTTCTTGTTTCTTAATAATTTTCTTTTGTATGGCTTCTTTCGTTATTCGAATCGGACTTC